AAAGCTCAAAAAAAAGTTCGACTTTTGAAAGTTTTCTCTAGTGGGATCGATAGAGCTGCTTCTATATGATATCTTCATCATATTAGTTTGGGAGGAAACGCTCAAAAATTGGATGAAAAATAGGTCCGAAAAAATCGCCTTTTCCGGACTTTCAAGCTTCATAACTTTGTTTATTTTGAAGCTACAGAGGAACTAATTATATCGATCGATTTGTCGTGTTATAAGCTTTCTGATGATATAGGTCTTCAACGAATTGAGCTTTATCCAGAAGCTTCAAACTTGCCTCAGCTTACAACTCGGCTTTTCGGTAAGTTATCAAAGATTGCGTTATATCATTGCATCTGTCTTAAGAAGCTTCATCGATTGATAATAGTTCCAACTGGTTTTAAGGAGAAGCTGAGATGTAAGCTGGAAAAGTTCGTGACGTTATCCAAGATTATGGAAACTCTTAAAGTACTAAATCATTAAGAAGCTGATAACAAGAAGAATCGATCGATATAATTAGTTACTCTGAAACTCTAGAATTAAGAAAGTTATGAAGCTTGAAAGTCTGAAAAATGCGGATTTTCAAATCCAATTTTCACTCCATTTTTGAGCTTTTCCTTGGAAGAGATGTGATAAAACTACTATATGGAAGCTGCTCTATCAAATACACTAGGAAAAAGTTGAAAAAGTCAAACTTTTTTTTGAGCTTTTCCTTTTTCGCCAGAAAAGTACACCGCGGTGCTGCCCACCAAATGCATTTTATCTGACGCCATTTCAAATTTTAATAGGAACTTTTGACGGCCTTTATCTCGACTCCTAGAGCAGCTACAGCTAATATAATTATATCAGTCGATTTGTCTTGATGTCAGCTTTCGAATGATATGAGCTAACACTGAATTGAGCTTCATCTAGAAGCTTCAGACTCGCCTCAGCTTCTCACTAGATTTTTTGATAAGTTATCAGATATTGAGTAGTATCATTGGATCGGTTTCGAGACGCTCTTCCGATTGATAATAGATTCATGTGTTTTTATGAAGAAGCTGAGATGTAAGCTTGAAAATTCCATGGCGTCAACCAAGATGATGGAAACTCCTGAAGACCTATATCATCAGAAAGCTGATAACAAGGCAAGTCGGTCGATGTAATTAGTTCCTCTGTAGCTTCAAAATAAACAAAGTTATGAAGCTTGAAAGCCCAAAAAAGGCGATTTTTTCGGACCTAATTTTCATTCAATTTTTAAGCTTTTCTTCCCAAACTGATATGATAACCGTATCATATAGGAGCAGCTCAATCGATCCCACTAGAGAAAACTTTGAAAAGTCCAACTTTTTTTTGAGCTTTTCCCTTTTCGCGAGGAAACCACACCGATGAGAGCCTCAGAAAAGCGCTTGACCCGACGCGCAACCTCAGTCGAGACAATTCATCTCACGCGCAAGTTTATTTTTTGAGACAAACTTTGGAGGCTTATATCTCGGCTTCCAGAGCAGATACAGCTTATCTAATCATATCAGTCGATTCGTATCGATGTCAGCTTTCGAATGATATGAGCTAACATTGGATTGAGCTCAATCTAGAAGCTTCAGACTTGCTTCAGCTTATAGCTCGGCCTTTCAATAAGTTATCAGAAATTGAGTATTATCACTAGATCCGTCTCGATGCGCTCTATCGATTGATAGTAGATTAATCTGTTTTTAAGAAGAAGCTGAGATGTAAACTGGGAAATTTTGTGACGATTTAGGTGTAGACATCTTTGCGTTTCCGATTTTAAAAGGAAAAGCCGGGATGCCATCTGAAAAAATTTTGGATTCGGTCTTGTTAACGGGTCCTTTTTTGAAGGCAGCACTTTTCCAAGGAGCCTAAAAATAAAAATCACCAAAAAAGGACCACAAATCAAGCTCCACGTGATGTCGATTTGTGGCGTTGTTCTACAACTTCCGCGTGAACTACACCCAAAATCTTTTATCAAACATTTCCGTCATCGAAACGGTTTGACGCAAGCGTAGGTTTCCTCGTTTGGAAATGGGAAACGTGGTGTTGACCGTTGGACTGTTTGGCAAACAGTTTCAGGGGGTATCTATCAAAGATCGCGAGTCGCGTAGGAGGAAAATGTCGAAAATATTTCTGTTTGTGCAGTTCAGAATTCTTCTTTCAGTTCCGACAACTTCCTGGATTCTGAAGAGCTGGAAGGAGTTTTCGAAAATTAAAACTATCGTTTCAAAAAAAAAATTGATCCAACCGTCCAAACTCTCAACAAAATTGTGCATTTGAACTATTAAAAGACCCCTGCATGGGACCCTAAAGTGTTGACCCCTATAATGTCCCTGTAGGGGTCCCTAAGACAACAGACCCCTTCAGGGATCCCTCAGAAAGTTAAAAAAAATCGACATGATAAATTTGGATCACTTTCTCAAGCCAAACAGCTAAAATTTTCGTTTAAACCAAGTTTCAAAGCAGAAAAACACATTTTTCTTCAAAAAACATCGTTTTTTCAACATGACAGAATACAAAAATTGTAAGAACATACAGAAAAGTCAAAAGAATACTTATGAAACGTGGAAAAAAAATCGTTAGTTTGAAAAAGTTCAGGAAAAGGTTGCCCAAGAGATAAAGTCTAGATAAATTGATTAAAAAAATCGAAGTAAAGAAAAAAAAAGAAAAAAGATTGGCATTTAAGCCTGAAAAGATATGAAATTTCAATAAAACTATAAAATATATCACCAAGTTTTTACGGGTTTTCATGAGAAAATTCGACAGTTTTGAGAAAAAAAAAACGAAAGATTGAAAATAATTCGCAATAACATAGGTGAATTTCACAATTTTTTCTCCCAATCCTTCAAAATTCAAAGCTTGCTTCATATTAACAATGTAACATTAAAACACCGCGAACTTTAATGCATAAAGTTTGAATTTTCGGGAACTTCATGCATACGGCCTTGCAATGGGTCAATGAATCTTAAAGTTGTTCAGTTCAAAAAGAACAGAATTCCAGAACAAACAACAAAGTTATTTTTTTTCAAAAGGGGTATACAAAAAAATAGGAAAAAAAGAATAAATTGACACGTTTTTCCTATTTTATCCAAACAAAGAAGAATCACGTGAAATATTTACAAATATAAAAAAATATAAAAAAATCTGAAAGAAGACATGAAATAAATGAACCTTGAGACTATTCCAATGTCCCGAGATTTCGAAAATTGCAAACAAATTGAAAAATCATCTTGAAATCAAGGTGTTTCCAAGGTCTGTGTAGTTGCGATTCGAGCCAGGAACATCTGAAAATCGCAAATTTGAAAAATTTCGAACAAAAATAAAGTACACAGCGATTTTATTAACATTTCTTGAACCCCAGAAGCCGATAAAGACGGTTCAAAGCCAATTTCGTGCCAACTAAAGTTCGAAAAATTCTCAATTTTTATTTTCTAAACATAAAAATACAGTTCTGACCATAAATATATGCCTATTTGGTTTTTTGGCTAAAAAGATTCATTGAAATTTTTAAAAATTTTGAAGAATTTATATAAATTTGAAAAATCAGAATTTGGCCATTTTCGGTTTTTGAGAGCTAAAAATTTTAATTTGTTTTCAGCATCACATAATGTAATTTTAATCTATGTAAAACGTTGTCATGCACAACATATCGAAATTTTAGTTGATTTGGAGCTTTTGAAACGGAGTTATAGCCAAAAAAGCATATCTCCATGGCCAGTACTACGTGCAAAATTCATTATTCTGTGCAAATTGAGCTCATTTTCCACATTGAAACTTCACTTTTACACGGATCATCGCACTAAAAAAAAATAATAACCAATGGAATAAGTGAATAAAACTATACGTAGACTATTTATTGATGAAAATAACGTAAAAAAAAAAGAAAATGCAAAAGAAAAAGAAATAAGTCATGAAATGAGGTTCTTATAGGTCGTTCCGCGCCAGCTTGTCACGATTTCCAGTTTATTTGGAGCTAGAGTAGCCTTTTCGGCGCTTTGCTTCGATGCTCTCGGTGTGCCCCCTTGCGTGCACCTTTAATAAAACTCATTATTTCCGAACTTTGGAATGTTTTTTTATTCTACAAAAAAACAGTTGTAACATCAAATTTTATATCAAACTAACCCAAAAATTTATATGCAAAAAAAGCTCGAATAGTCGGTTTCATTAATAACAAATGAAAAGTAGTAATTCAATCTATTTGATTTTCTTTTTTTTTAAATCCAGCACAGAATCTGAGTGTGTATAGTTGAAGCGAAAAATGAAATCAATCCATTGAGAAAACCCCGTAAATTAATAAAAGAGATAGCGGAAATTGAAGCAATATCTTGATCAGAAATAATGTTTTATTAAAGGCGCACGCAGGGGGGAACACCGAGAGAATCGAAGCGAAGCCCAGAAAGGGGTTCTGTAGCTCCGAGGAAAATTGAAATCGTGACAAGCTGGCGCGGAATGGCCTATAGGCATATCTCCATGGCTGTACGTGCAAAATTCATGATTCTGTGCAAATTGAAATTTCCTTACGGCCATTTTCCACATGAAACTTCACTTTTACACGGATCATCGCACTAAAAATAATAACACTCAATTAAATAAATGACTGAAACTGATCACGCTTGCTGAAACCTTCCTATCGAATCTGTGAAAAAATTAAATTGGAGAAAAATCATGAAAAACCGGAAAAAATGTCAGAAATTCAAGCAAAATGAAGGAATTTCGACTTTCGAAACGAATAATATTTCGAATCTTTATGATCTCTAAGCTCCCTTGAAAAAAGAATCGGGTTGTCTTTCCTGTTTAGATTGTTTTTAGGCTACCCCTAAAGCCCAGGAAAATTATTTTTTCAATGATTCATAAACATATCATTTTTTTTTTCATGGATTCGTGTGAGTCACAAAACGAGAAAAAAATGTTTACCATTCAGAAAGCTTTTACAACCATCAACGTAATCTGATTATGCTTGAGAGCTCTGAAAATGACCATGAGACAGCTTAAAAGGGCGCAAAACTATCGAAATTCGCATTCCAACGATGCGGTCCGCCATCCTGATCATTCTCCTGTTGGAAGCAGCTTATACCTGGTATCTACCTGGAGATTATTACTATCCTGATGATCCTTCAACTATCGGGAAGCCACTAGATACTGGCCGAAAAAGTCAAAGTGAGTTTTGATCAAAAAAAAAACTCCTCAAAATTCATAAAATGCTCCGGATTTTCAAAATTTAAGAAAAATCTCTCAAAATACTTGAATACCCTTCATTTTTTGGAATCACGAGAAAATAAATATTTGATAAAACAAAAAATGTTGTTTTCAAAGTGATTTTGACTTTTCTTTTTTGCCCCAAAATGTGCGCCAATAAGCACCACTTGGCCCAAACTTCGTGCAATGCAATTTTCTAGGCCAGTTTTTTCCATTCCATTCTGTCTAGTACGTAAAAATTCTCACTTTCAGGGCCGGACGGAAAAGAGAACCAAGCACCCAGAAACTACACGGGCGGCTTCAACCAACACCGGAGGCCTCCGTACTTCTACGGCGAATGGTTCAGCGACCCGTTCCGGGACCGAACCGCCGACTACAACGCCCACATCAACATGCACGGAACCCATCACAACCTCGACCGACCCATCAACCACAACCGAACCGCAACCACGACGCAAAGCCCTCGCCCAAACTGGCATGGGATGAATCCACAGGCCGGCTCCCATGGCTGGAATGACCGCAGCCATTTCGGGAACACGAATCGTGGCCCTCCGACTCCGAACAATCAAGGTCGAACCGTCCTTGGTGATATAACCCGAGGCGGTGGGAATTGGAATCCGAGTGGCCGTCGTGGTGGCGGCTGGAATCAGGGCCCTTTCCGAGGAAAATGAATCAATTTGAATAAACTTTTCGATTTATTGTTATGAATGTTGCAAAAAAAGAAAATGAAGATGTTGAATAGAAATCGATGGCTCGGGAAAAAAACGGAATGGAGGATAATGGCCGCTAAAAGGGAGAGGCTCAAAATGGCCGCAGAAAGGCTGCAAAAAGGCCGCAAAAAGGCCGCAGAAAGGCCGCAGAAAGGCTGCAAAATGGCTGCTAAAAGAGTCTCTTTATCGAGCCTTCCATTTTTTCTGGGATTTCAAAACCTCAAGAAATGGTTTATTAGGGGAGAGACAGTAAAAATGGTGCACAAAAGCCGATGAAACGGCGCAAAATGGCAGCAAAAAAGAAAAATTGCTATAGAGCCTTTTCCCAACTTTTTCAGTTTTGCCTATGGGATTATTAAAAATGAACACAAGCAAAAACAGTCCTTGAGAAGATATCTTCTGAATAAATCCCCATTTCGATGTAAAAATCGCACCAAAACGCTAAAAAGATGGAGAAAAACGGTTCTTTCTGAGTTACGAAATTCCGGAATCGAAAAAAAAAAATCATGAGCCTTTTTTCCTACTAAAACATGATGAAATTAAATTGAAAAAGATGTGATTTGTGAAAAAAAAATTGGTTTCTAAAACATTCCTATAGCTGACGGCCGGCTTGAGCCATCGAAAAAAGGGTCCTGACACGAAAATGCACGAAATAGTGCGTGGCTCGTTGGGAGCGCAGACAGGCCACGCCCCCTCAGCGTCCCAGTGAGTCAGCTATACTTTTCCAGTCCGTAACTTGCAAAACTAAAATTTCAATTCTTTCAAAACTATCATCGTGGTTGGACAAACACTCCAATGAATCATCGTAATCTGATTATGCTTGAGAGCCCTGAAAGGGTCCATGAGACAGGCCATTTTCCACATGAAAATTCACTTTTACATGGATCATCGCACTAAAAATAATAATACATAATCAAATAAGTGATTGAATCTAGGCACGCTTGCTGAAACCTTCCTATCAAATCTGTGAAAAAATTAAATTGAAGAAAAATCATGAAAAACCGGAAAAAATGTCGGAAATTAAAGCAAAAATGAAGGAATTTTTGACTTTCGAAAACGAATAATATTTCGAATCTTTATGATCTCTAAGCTCCCTTGAAAAAAACAGAATCGGGCTTGTCTTTTCCTGTTTAGATTGTTTTTAGGCTACCCCTAAAGCCCAGGAAAATATTTTTTTTTAATGATTCACCAACATATCATTTTTTTTTCAGGAAATCGTGGGAGTCACAAAACGAGAAAAAAACTGTTTTCCATTCAGAAAGCTTTTAAAACCATCAAAATGATCTAATTATGCTTGAGAGCTCTGAAAGGGACCATGAGACAGCTTAAAAGGGCGCAAAACTATCGAAAGTCGCATTCCAACGATGCGGTCCGCCATCCTGATCATTCTCCTGTTGGAAGCAGCTTATACCTGGGTATCTACCTGGAGATTATTACTATCCTGATGACCCATCAACTATCGGAAAGCCACCTGTCAGGAAAATTCGACGTAAGTTCATTTTTTTTTCTGGAAAAAATGAAGGAGGAACAATAAGAGGCATGTTATTAATAATGTAAAAATGCCATAGTTTACCAGTTTTCGATTCTAGTGACCACTTTAGTAGCGTTAGAACCCTTAAGTGAACCCTAGAAATGCCCAGAAACGTCCGTTTCGCGTTATAGCTGATTCACGGCTGGCTACAGCCATCGAAAAAATGATCCTGCCACGATAATGCACGAGAGAGCGCAGACAGGACACGCCCCCTTAGCGTCCCAAGCTCTCCGTGGATCAGCTATACTAATGTCCGAGTTTGAAAAATCCTAACCTAAAATCTCCGCCGAGCAAACTTTCCTAAAATTCCAAAGAAAAAAAAACTTGCAGCCCCGATACCAGATGGAAAAGAAAACGAACGGCCTGGGAAATACATGGGCGGCTTCAACCTGAACCGCCGGCCGGGCTACTTCCAAGGCACTTGGATCAGCGAGCCGTTCAACGACCGGACCCAGAACTACAACAGTCACGTCAACCGACACGGAACCCATCACAACCTCGACCGACCGTTGCCCCAGGCGCTCAACCCTCAAATCCGGAACCCGCAAGCGACGCCACCGATGCCGCCGCCGAACTGGCATGGGATGAATCCACAGGCCGGCTCCCACGGCTGGAATCAGAACAGCCATTTCGGGAATACGAATCGCGGTCCTCCGACTCCGAATAACCAAGCTAGACCCGCCCTGGGTCAGATTAATCAAGGTGGAGGCGGCTGGAATCAGCCTTTCCGAGGGAAATGAACTTTGTTGAATAAAGTTTTTAAATTTCGTTTGCGCATCCTAAAAAGAAATGAAGGATGAAGTTTGAACGAAGGAGGATATTCGCTTCTCTGGCTTGTGACTTTTTGTTCTGGAAATTGTATCCATAGGAACTCTAAAATGGTCCCTATAGGGGCAACTTTAGGGACCCCTCTAGAGACCACTTTACCAACCCCTATAGGGGCCCACTGAAGCTTGCAATAAGTGGCCCCTATAGTGGACATGCTAATCGATAATTTTAATATACTCCATGCGAAGAAGCATTTCCATGGGAAAAATGAACAAAAAGCGATTTTCAAATAAAGTTGAAAGACCCCTATAGGGGCCACAAAAGCTTTAGGGGCTAAGGGCTCAGACCCTAAATCCCTAAAGGTACCACCTTGATTTTACCAATATAGGGACCACTTGGGGCTGTTTTTCTCCCTGACCCCTATAGGGACTACTCTGGAATTTCTTAAAAAAATAATTAAAATACACATAAAAACTTAATTTAGATGCGCTCGAGTAGCCATAAAAACAGCTGTCCAATGAAAATCCTAAAGCTTTTTTTAAGAAAAAAAGTGTCCCAAAAATTAGAAAAAAAGGTCCATTTTTGCTCTCATATCAGCTTCCCTGTTTGCTTCGAAATTATACATTGAAATAGTGATTTTTCGATTATTTGATTAAAGTTTGAAATTTTTTTGAAATAAGTCATTTTAAATCGAAAGTTTATCGTGTGGAAATGAAAAAAACTTCAAGAATTCATAAAAACGATTTCAATTTTCGTCAGAAAGACTCAAAAAAATCGGGCTAATCTGAATAAAAAAAGCCAAGAACCAGAAGAATAAGTACAGAAAATAATTCTTTCACAACAAAAAAATATTTTTTTCTATCTTTTCTCCAGTCTCTAATGCAACATTCACGTGGGCGCTTCAAAATTCCAACTTTCTCAAAAAAAAAATTTTGAAAGCCTTTCAAAGGCATTGATGTAATATGATTATACCTAAAACATGGGAAACTATTTTCGAAAAGCTATAGAAGCATTGAATTCACATTTCTCCAGTTTCAACAATGCGGACCGTTATTCTGCTCCTTCTACTGCTGGAAATGGTCTTCACTTGGTATCCGCCTTATCATCTTGATCGTTCCGACGGATTATCACCCGACTTTATTGTCAAAAGTGGACGTGGAAGTTGGTTCTTTGCTTTGAAAGTTAAAAAAAAAGAGATCTATTCAAAAATCTTTGCTGAGGTGTTTAAAGGAGCATGAGGTCCTGAGACGAAGAGCCGTCAGAAATTTTATTTCAAGCGATGCAAACCTTCGGCATATTCAGGCAACTCAGCAAAATTTCTGAACAGGTTATGAATAAGACAACAAAAATCAGAAAACTTTTCAAAAAATTCAATCGATCGAAAATACCATCATAACACTTCAGCACCATAAAAGAAGTTCTAAACATATTCAATTTCGAAAGAAATATAAGAAAATACTGTAAAAGAAAAACATGAAAAAAATTTACTTATACAGAAAATCATAAATGTTTCTGAACGACTGAAATTCAAGAATAGTCTGTTCAAAAAGTCCTATGCCAAAGTGTTTGAAAAGAGGCAGAGAAAAACTTTTTTTGAAAATAAAGAAGCGATTTTCCTTCAAACCCTTAAACACTTCTGAAGCTTTCAAACCCTCGACAAGGACTCTGGAACACGCCATAAATTCTGAACTGAATAAAATTAACGTGAACAAGTGATAATAAAAAAAACGTCGCGTTCAAACTGATTTTCGAGGACTGGAAATCTCAGAATTGAGCTTTATTTATATGGCTTCCGGATATTTGCAATTATTCAATGTATAAGCAAACTTTCACTGCTTGAAAACGACTCTGAACACGACATAAAAAGCAAAAAAATTTGATTAAATAAGGAAAAATATTAAAATAATTTTAAAAAAACTTCATCAGACCACGTAAAATGCGCCAGTGGGCACCTCTTGACGCAAAGCTTGTGAGAAATGATTTCCTTGAAATAATGGCTTTGGAAAGAAGATTTCTGTGTGATTTTCATGGTTTTTTTTTATAATTAATGTGATTAGAATTTGAGGGCTCAAGAAAAATAAATTTTTTTTACACGAAAATCTTTTTTCAGGGCCTTTAACGCCGGAAACCGAAAACAAGCCGCCTTCCAACTACAACGGCGGCTGGAATCGTTCTCCGGCGCCGTCCTTCGACGGAATGTTCACCCGGCCCATGAACGACATCACACACGAGTACAACTACCACGTCAACTCCTACGGGAATCATCATAATCTCAATTATCCGGCTGGAAATTCAAACACGGCCGCGAGACCGTATGAGCCACCTAATTGGCAGCAGAATCAAGGTGTTGGACACGGCTGGAATCAGAATAACCAAGATAGGAATGTCCTGGGTCAGAATAACCAAGGTGGAAGAGGTTGGAATCAGCCTTTCCGAGGAAAATGAGTTAAATAAATTTTTTAACAAGAAAATGTTTTTCCTTCTTGTCTAAATTAAAAATGATGAAAAACCCATTCCAAATGCGACCATGCAAGTAAAAAAATTTTATGAATCAAGCTCGATAACATTATTAAAGGCACATGCTTCTTTGGGGTCGAAATTTCACAGAAATTCAAAGGAAAATTATTAAAACGTGACAAAAATATACAGCCAATCGTGCATAAGATTACCTGGATTTTACCTATTTACTTAAATTAGAAAGAGCAAAATATCATAATCCGGCGTGATCGTAGGGGTCCATGTGTTGCCAGGAGGCCGGGTAATTCCTCTCGGCTTCTTCTTCCGGGGTCATGGGCCTCGATCCGTTCGGACCCAGTGTGTAACTGACTGCGGAACCGTACATCAGAACGCTCTGGAAAATGGAATTTTATAGCTTATTCTCCGTCAGTTTGTCACTATTTTTTTCCTTCAAACTACTTTAGGAACTCCAGAGTGGTCCCTATAGGGCCCCAATGCGAAATCCCTAGAGGGGCCACTTGAGCTCGCGAAAGTGGTCCCTATAGGGGACATGCTAGTCGATAATTCTTATGAACTATAAGCGGAAAATCATTTCCATGGGAAAAATGAACAAAAAGCAATTTTTAAATAAATTTGAAAGACCCTTATAGGGTTCCCTTGAGCTTTAAACCCCTATAGAGACCACCTTAATTTTAACCCTATAGGGGTCTCTTTTTCCAGCCCTTTAAGAGGCTTCCTCCCCCTTAACCCCTATAGAGACCACTGTTCCAGCCCTCTAGAGATCCCTAACCCCTATAGTGACCACTCTGGAATTCCTAAGATAGTAGTTTCACGACTGGCTTGAGCCACCGAAAAAGGTGTGGGGGAAAATTCTAGTGGCCACTTAAGAGGTTTCTCAAGCAGATAGCACTAAAGTGGCCCCTAAAAAAGCCTCTAGAAAGCGTCTAGTGTTAGTTTTAGTGGCCGAATAGTTTTCTGAAGGGGCCACTCAAGTGGTCACTTATGCGACTACTATAGTGGCCAGCAGAGCAACTTTTTTTTAAATTTAAGCGGTCCAGTGATGCATTAAGGCTTCTAGAGATGACCCTTGTTTTTAGCCACTTAAGTGACCCCTTATTTGACCACTATAGGGTTCACTAAAACGACAAAACCCTGAAGTGACCACTTAAAACTTCAAAACCTTGAAAAGACCACTAAAAATCTTCAAAACCATTATCAAAAGGAGCCTCCAAAGGCAAAGAAAAAGGGTCATTACCTTCCCACTGGGGGTCCTCCTCTGGCACTGAAGCTCCCCGGTGTAATAGGTTTTGGAAGTGACGCCGGAGCCGCCGACGATCCCCTCGAAAGTGCGGCCGAAAACACCTTGGGCCGCGTTCTAACGAAAAAATTATTATTTTCCAAGCCTTTTCCAAACCTGAACAGAATTGGTGAGATGCTGCATGTTGCATCGCTCCTGCGTGAAGGCGATTTGATCTCGAATCAGGGCGTCGAGCTGTCTGTTGCAGCATTTGAAGCCTGAATTCGAGCCAACTCTGGTCAAATTAGAAGCGATAAACAGTTCGTTGAGGTCTAAAGGACTTTTGAAAATTGTGGAAAAAACTTCAGAACTGTTTCATAGTTCTTTCCAGTGCTTCCAGAGCTATTAAAAAGTCAAGAAATCACAGAAAAGTCTAAGGAACTCTCCTCAAAGTAGTTTTTTAATTTATTGGATGATAGTAGAAGTTTGGGAAAGCATCAGGAAGTCACCAAGTAGAGTTGAGAGCTTTGAGTCACTACAAAAAAGGTGTGGGAGTAGAAAAAGCTCTTTAAAAAGTACCTATGTGTCCTTAAAGGCAAGAAAAAAAAAATTAATGATTCATTCCAGAAGCACGAGAAAACCTTCGACGACTTCTATTTTTCTTGGAAGAAGCAAAAAAATCAAAAAAATTATCAAACAAGGGAACGTTTTCACCCCCGTCCTCCCGTTAAAAATTTGGTAAAGCTTTTCTGAAGTGTACTTTAGGGCCTCCTAATTCCAGAACAAGGAAAAATTCTCTCGCAGTACATCTTATTTACGAGTTATGAGCCTTTAAAGTAGGAGTTTGTAAGAATTCCAGGCTTCAAGTTCCTGATCAAAGTGACTAAATGACGTCACGAGGCCGAAAATGTCTCTCTGAAGACATCTCCGCAGAATTTCCTTGATCATCGGTTGACCGTTGAGAAAGCTAGAAGGTGTCGAAAAAAAGCGAGTGAGTCAGGCTGCAACTTCAGAAGCTTCATAGGGATCTATTTTATGTTTTAGAGAACCAATAAGTTCTTAAATATCCTTCTAGAAACTTCAGTTCTTTCATCAGATTGTTTGGATGACGTCATAAGCCCAAAAAAGGCTCTCTCAAGCCCCTTAATGAAGCAATTTCTGATTATCGACCGACCTTGACCGTTCAGAAAGCTTCAGGTCCTTTAAAAGAAAGAAAATTTCTAGATAGAAGGCTTATTTTTTACCATCAGAGTGCTTTTAGGCCAATTCTAGGGCTACAAAGTGACGTCATAACCCAAAAAAAAGCCCCTCTCAAGGCCCTTCTACGAAAAATTGCAAGAGAAAGACGTCAGAATTTTTCGCCTTCGCAAAATTTCTTATCGACTGACCTTGATCGTTCAGAAAGCACTTGGGCGGTGGTGGCGTGACGTAGACGGGGGGCGGAGTCACGTAAGCCGGGGGCGGAGTCACGTAAGCCGGGGGCGGAGTCACGTAGGCCGGCGGAAGAGCATAGCCCGACGGAGGAAGTACGTAAGAGTTCGGAGCGACGGCGTACATCGGAGCCGGCGGGACATAATAGGGCGGAGCCTGGAGCTGTGGCCTTTGTTGGGTGAAGCACGGCGACTGCGGGGAGTTCATGCAGTTCTGGAAATTGGTTTTGTTCAAATAAAAAAAAGTCATTTTTTGGGTGAAAATAACCCCAAAAACTCCTCGATCCAGTGGATGAAGATAACTGGTATCAAGCTCCAATATTCTGGCAGATTTCCAGGAAGTTTCTTTCGACCCTCGGTGACGTCAGAAACGTCACTTTTTAGCTCTAGAAGAAAATTTCCGAGGTAAACCATTTTCTACAGTAGCCCTACAGTATGATTTCTATCCGTCCATTCTTCAAGAATTCAGGAAAAGTAGCTAGTTCCATCTAAGTTTAGTGTGGATTTTGAGTCGTGATTTGAATTGTCTGTACCGTACTTTTGGCTTACTGTAATTTCAGGGCCTCCTACAGTAGTTTTCCACAAAAATCAGTTGTATGAAGTAGCTTCAGAGCTAACTTACTCTACCGAATCTTCAGGTTACTGTACTCCTAGGACTGACAGTCCAAATGTGGCTTTTGAAAATGCACAGTAATTTCGGCTTACTGTAACTTCAGAGCCTTCAAGTCGTGCTCAAAAAAACTAGATTATTTTAAGTAGCTTCAGAGCTAACTTACTCTACCGAAACTTCAGGTTACTGTACTCCTAGGACTGACAGTCAAAACGTGGCTTTTAAAAATGTACAGTACTTTTGGTATACTGTAGCTCCAGAGCTCCGTAAAGCAGTGCTCAAATAAATCAGATTTTTTCAAGTAGCTTCAGAGCTAACTTACTCTACCGAATCTTCAGGTTACTGTAATCTTAGTTAACAGAGAACTATGTCCTTTCGGCTTACTGTAGCCACTTCAACTAAACTCCTCGGACCTAGGTAACGGAAACCGAACGCCCCGGACGTTTCTGAGCAGTTCTAGGGATCACTTAAGAGTGCTGACGCTACTAAAGTTGCCATTAGAAATTCCCAGACACGAGCGATTCGCGTTACCAAGATCCAAGTACCTTTATTGAATTAGCATTAGAGCGAACTTACTCTACCGAATCTTCAGGTCACCGTAATCAAGGGGCCAATTTTCAAGCTTTCTTTGAAGAATCCCAGAGCGAAACTTTCAAGAAACTCCTTGAATTTTAGCCCCTATCCACTGTCAGCGTCGCTGAAACCTCCAAATTGGTCCCGTTGGACCCGTTCAAAAGTTCAAACGCGTCATCGCATTACGAACCGTCTGCACTTTGATACTCCATTGATACGTTCGCTGGTTTCTCGTTTTTCTAGGTCTCAGAAGGAAAAAAAGTTGTCTGGAGGAGGGTACTGTAGGCTAGGATTTTCCTTGTCAGGAGAGAATTTTAAAAAATTCAAACGAGATTTGGATGCGTTCCAGCGGAGTGTCGTACTAAAAAAATTGAAGCAAAAGGCTCAAAATCCTTAAGATCTTACCGTAAGCCGATCGTCTTAGGACCCTTTCCTATAAAATTACGATGAGCCTTCAAATTTTGTGATAAAATTAAGTCAAAAGGCTTTTCAGGGGAATATTTTTCAAGAAAAGAAAAAAAAGGTGAAAAAACGCATCCTTCACGGTCCTCATCTCACAGGAAAAAATGGATCTTTTTCAAAATTTTTTTTTGAAATTTAAAAAATGGAGTCTTTCCCTACAATGCTCTGATGTGTTCTAGCGGAGCCTCGTACAAAAAAATCCCTAAAGCCTTTTTTCTAAGGCCAATAAAAGCATGAAAAAGTTGAGAACCTTTGAGGGGTCACTATAGGGTTTTGACGTTTTAGTGGTCACTATAGTAGTTAAAATAGTGGCCACTTAAGAGGTTGAAAATTAGTGGCCACTATAGAAGTTACTACTAGACCACTAAAAACTTGAGTGGCCACTTTAGGGGTCAATGGATTAACATAACTGGTCCAATCTGTTTGTTTTAAAATTATCAGAGTTACTGGAAGGAATACTGGATGAAAAACTACTGAAGTGGCCACTAAAACGGAAAAAAGCGGCCACTATAGTGTCCTCTCCCAGTAGCCCTTGGCGGGCCTCTATAGTGGCCACTTGAAGTTTTCCCAGTGTCACAAAAAATTGCATATCATTAAAAAATGTCTCTAGTTTGATAAATCTCACCCAAGCCCATCAAATCCCACGTTTATAATCATTTCTTGCGAAGACCTCATCCATCAAATTTCCCTTCGTTCCAACGCCCTATTTCTCACCTTTTCTCTGTTCTATTATTAGAGAAATGATAGATATGGTTAATTTTTTGGTCGCACGGAGAATGGCTCAAGAAAAAATCACAGAAATCTCCGAATAAAATAAGGATCCGAAAAAAATAAGGAGGTTACTGTAGATTAAAAAATCCGAAAAAAATAAGGAGGTTACTGTAGATTTTTTCAATCGTTCTAGGACCCAATTTTTCAAATCAGACGTGGTCATTTTTCTCACGGAAAATGAGCTTTTTTCAAGTTTTTTTTTTTAAAGTTTTCAGTCTGATTCCACTTGCAAATGCAAGGAAAAAAATTCAAAAAAATAAATAAAATTTAAAAAAAGGGAGAGATTTTTGATATCTCCACTTGAAAAAAATATACCCAGGGATGACCAAAAAAATGAATAAATAATGTAAAAAAATCCCTAGCAAGTTAAAAAAACCGGGGCAAAAAGCCATTTTTACCAAAAACAGATGCAAAAATTTTATATTTTTTTAAATTTTTTTTACTCACACAGTTGTGATGGAATCTTATCGTTATTAAAAAGTATAAGACCTGAGTTGAAAAAAGGAAAAAAGATAAAGATCTTAAAAATCTTAACTTTTTTCTCCTAAAAGCCGGAGGGGCGGAAAACGGGTGCAAAATGGCTGAGAAAAGGGTTCCGTTTTGCGGCCGTTATTGAGCCTTTCTCACTTGGTGGGCTAAAAGGCTCAAAAAAGGGTGAAAAAAGGGTGAAAAAATGGTGCTGAAAGGGTCGGCCATTGATGATTTCCGAATGTATTACTGTAGCACATTTTGGTGCATACACAGTCCCTTATCAATTTAAAAATTTTTGTGGCTCTTAAAAGGGCCCAAAAATGTTGGATAAAGGTCGATGAAAGGACGGAAAAAGGCTGTAAAAAGGGAACCGTTTAGGAGCGATTATGGAACCTTTTTGAACCCGTAATGGACCCTCAAAGGGCCCCTAAAGGGTCCTTTGCCTATTTGAGAATACAGTCAGGAACACCACCAATAAAAGGTACCAAAAAAAGAAGGTAAAAAACCCTACCAAATTGAAAAACCAGGCGAAGACCAGCGAATCGAAAGAAAACAGTGATAGGACAGTGAATAGACGAAACATTTCAGACTTTGAACCTTCAATTTATCAAATATATCGATGGGAAAGCCTGACGAGAAATGAAAAAGACCACAAATTAGGGCAAAAACGTAGACTTAAAAACGGTGAGAGTGAGGGTGTGTGTAAAGCCAGACACTTATCCTACAGGTTCCCCGCCACCCACACACGAGACTAATTTTTTCGGCTTTTCGCTTCAACGAACCCTTCCAAAGAAAGTCATTTGGGTGATGATCAGCGAACAAAAAAAATTCGCTTACACTTGGATCAGAAGTTTTTTTCTAACCCCGGGTCATAGTCTACTCGTTACATGGGGAGTCATTTTACCGTTCCTACTGGAATTTTCTATAAATTTGCTGAAACACTCTTTGATGGACCGGGAACCGATCCCACATAGTGGCTATCTGCGCAAACTTTTCGTTTTGGAGATATGATTTTTTAAAGTTTCCATCCTCTAACACGTGACCTTGTTGTGAAGGAATGTGGCCGCGCCGACAACCACTCAATGGCAGATAGGTGCGTGGTGCAGTGAGTAGCGATGTAGACTGCGGAGCCTATGACGAGGGTTCGAATCCTTTTGCCGCTAACTTTTTTTGCCGACTTTTTTTTTGCACAGTTATGATGGAAATATGGAGTTTTAAGACCAAAAATGTTGTAACCAGGTTCGATAGCTCTCATTTATACATAAGAGTGCACTTTTGTATTACTTTTAATCTGAAAAACTCATGAAGCTGTAGAAGGCGATAAAGGGACTCTTTTTGCGACCTTTTCACGGCCTTTTTTTGAGCCTCTCCTTTCTAGCGGCCATTATCCACCATTTCAACTATGTCCGAGAAAATGAAGTTTTTTTAATGCTACATGAAGAGCCGCCCGAAAATATGGCTACAGATTTTTTCGCTTCAACGAACCTTCCAAAAAAAGTCATTTGGGGGATGATCAGCACAAAAAATTCTCTTTCATTTGGTTCAGAAGATTTTGAAGAAAGCTGTTCAACAAAAAAAGCTTAAAATAGAAATTTTTCCTTCCACCCTCAAGTAGAAAAGAGGTTTTGAGTTAAAAATTAAGGATATTCAAACTTTTGAGAAGTAGAAACTGTTGATGGTGGAGACTTTTTAGGAATATTAGCAGAAGCAGGAAATTGTGGAATTTTTCAAGTGACTCTATAATCAAGGGGGGGGTGTATAAAACTTCAAAAAAAGAGAAAAGAAATTTTTTTCAAACCTAAATATCATTTTCTGATCTCGAAAAGAAGCTTTTCAGATGGTAATAATTATTTATTCAGTTTTTTTAAATGCCGGTTTTTTTAAATTTTTTTCTCAATAATCTGGTTTCCAAAAATAACCAGTATTCGAAAGTTAACACTGAAAAAATCAAAAAATTCATCAAAAAAACATTTTTTTCCGAAATCATTTATTAATGAGTGGAGGAGAAAGTCGGTCTAAAAGCCGAAAAAAATTTCCTAAACAACGTTTGAAATCATCAATTTTTTTATTTTCTTTAAAAAATACGATTTTTCTAGCTTAAAATCAACCTAGGAACCATTAAAAAGAATCTTCCAGATGTCTGGAATAATTATATTGATAGTTTACAGTCCGTAAATGCTGATTTACCGGAAAAATTCTTAAAGTTCAAGCTTTCAATGTTTTCTGAAAACCTCAAGCCGAGTTTTTTCCCAGGTGACAAATCTTTGAACAGGTAAAACGGGTACCTCTTCAAAAAAGACGAAAAAATGGCACTGGATGTCGTTTTGATCTCATCACGGCACTTGAGGAAGCTTTAGTGGGGGGAGGGGGATTGGCCTAATTTTGTGGGAAACTTGAGAAAAGTGGCTGAAAAAAATCTGATGAGGCGAAAAAAAACGTTCAAAAATCCTTCTAGTATCCTAGAGGTAGTCAGGGGACACTGAATGAGCCTTTTCGCTTCGAGACCTTTTTTGAGATCAGGTCATGCTCCTTTAAACGCTCTCAAAAGGGTTCAGATCTAAAAAATGGATTTTTTATGGAAAACAACGTTGAAAAATCCTTCTAGTGTGCTAGAGGTAGTCAGGGGACACTGAATGAGCTTTTTCGCTTCGATACCCTTTTTGAGATCAGTCCATGCTCCTTTAAACGGTTTCAAAAGGTTCAGATCTAAAAAATGGATTTTTGATGGAAAAAACGTTGAAAAATCCTTCTAATATCCTAGAGGTAGTCAGGGGACACTGAAAAAGATTTTTCGCTTCGAAACCTTTTTTGAGATCAGGTCATGCTCCTTCAAACGCTCTCAAAAGGGTTCAGATGTATAAAATGGATTTTTTATGTGTCTTGAAAACTTTTCCAGCGTCCTTTTATCACATAAAACTTTCTTAAAGCCTTTTTTAAGCCCACAAATCCAAAATTCAGTTCAAATGAAGAAAAAATGATAACTAAACCTACATAAAACTTTTTTGAGGCCTTAATTAAGCCCGAAAGATCAAAAGCAGTGAAAAAAAACGGAACCAGGAGCTTTTTTTAAAATCCAAAAAAAGTCAAGAGCTCAAAAAAATTGGTTCTATATGAAGGTACCATGAAAGTTCAACTTTGAAAAAGGCTGATTTTTTTCAGTTTTCAATCAAAAATTTTTTTAGGGGAATATAATTTTTGATGACAAAGAGCTTTCTCTGAAGAAAAAAATAGACTTTTTTTATCAAGTTTGGAATTTTTTTAAATAATCAAAGTTTAGTAAGTCTCCAGCTTCAGCTTCACTAGAAAAAATTATTTTAACGTCGCTGAAAATGTTCAAACAGCGATTTTCTTTGTTTTACCACGTTCTTTCTCGACTTTTTGTCAAAAAATAGCTTGTTTTTCTGTCCTTGGCCCAATATGACCTCAAAAAACTTTTTTCTTTCATTTTTCTGTTTCGAAATGCCCTTTTTTCCCGTCCAAACAGTGCTAGGTTCAATTTAAAATCAAAAAAATTGATTTTTTTAATTTCTTAGAATCTTTTGTTTTCTTTTTTTTCCTGTTTCAACAAGCATATTTTTTTAAAAAAAGGTCTTAGGTTTAAGTTTATCTTCCAAAGTTTAGTTTACCCATCATTTAAAAAAATTATTTTTTTCTGTTTTTTTCTTGTTTCCACATGCAAATTTTTCAACATTCCAACGGCTTTAGGCCTCATTTTAAAAAAATGAATTTTTTTCTCTTTTTTTCTGTTTCGAAATGCACCTTCTCAACGTCCCCAACGACTTCGGGTTTAATTTTGACCTCAAAAAAACCCATTTTTCTACTCTTTTTTTCCTTTTTTTAACATGTAAATTTTGAATCCCAACGATCTCAGGTTCAATTTTAACTCAAAAAAATCCATTTTTTTCTCTTTTTATTGTTTCCACATGCTTTTTAACATCCTAACGGCTTTAGGCCTAATTTTTTTACCTCAAAAAAATAAATTTTTTTCTATTTTTTTGTGTTTCCACATGCAAATTTTCAACATACTAGCCATTTTTGGCTCAAATAGACCTCAAAAAATGCATTTTCCACTTCTTTTTCCATTTTCAACATGTAAAATTTGAATTTCAACGATCTCAGGTTCAACTTGATCACACAAAACATTAAATTTTACATCAGTAAAAAAATTTTTATCCATTTTTTTATCTGTATCAACATGCAAATTGTCTAACATCCCAACGATTTCGGGCCTCATTTTGACTCAAAAAAATGTATTTTTTTCTTTTTTTCTGTATGAACATGCGAATTTTGAATCTAGACACGATTTGAGAACCTATTTCGACTTCAAGAAATGCTTTTTCTACTCATTTTTTCGTTTTTCAACATGTAAATTTTCAATCGAACCGATTTTTAGCTTAATTTTGGCTTCAAAAAATGCCGTTTCTTTCCTTTTTACTGTTTAGAGAAGCACATTTGCAACATGCCGACAATTTTTTGCTCAATTAGAACTGAAAAATCCATTTTTCTACATTTTTCTCCGTTTTAACAGCAAATTGTTAACATCCCAACGATTTCGGGCCTCATTTTGACTCAAAAAATGTATTTTTTTTCTTTTTTTTCTGTATGAACATGCGAATTTTGAATCTTGACACGATTTCAGGACCTATTTCGACTTCAAAAAACCCATTTTTCTCCTCCTTTTCCTGTTTCAAAATACGCAGAACTTTATTCAAACCAATCGGAAAAGGTACGGGATCTCAGGTATGTGGCGGGAGACAGACGTGCACGTCGTTCCCTTTGAAACGGATCGCCAGGCATCGAGTTCCCGCCGGGCAAGATTTGTTCTTGCACGGTGTTCCTTTGAATTTCGCTGAAAATTCGAACCTTTTCGAACGGAACCAAATTGAACGCTACAATAACCCCAACTCTTTTTTTGCGCTTTCGCTTCGAGACCCTCCAAAACTTGAAAGACTCAAAATTTGATTGAATAAAAATTTTTTACGGCATTGATTTGCGCTTAAAATTCGAACCTTTTTAAACAAAACCGAACTAAAAGCTACAGTAACCCAAACTATTTTTCTCGCTTTCGCTTCGGGACCCTAAAAAAAAGACGCGAAACTTGGTGTACGGTTTTTTTGACAGGAAAAATTGAGGTTTCTGAAATAATGCGAATTTTTTTTAAAATTCTTTAAAATGTGCAAATTTTACAAGTGATTCGGACGCTGTATGAACATTCAAAAACTGACAAAAAAAAAATTTCTTTTTTGATTTTCAACTCGAACTTTAAAATAATGAAACTTAAAAAGACATCGAAAAGCTGGCAAAATATCGCATTAAGGAGGGATTTTGAGCTTGGGGATTTTATTTTTCTTTTCGAAAATCAATTTTTCTTCCATTCTCTACCTTTTCCAGGTGTAAAAAGCTAATCAGCGACCTTTTGAATCTTGAAAAATGATCTGAAGTTTAAAAATTGGCTTTTAACACGAAAATTCAAGAATTTTTCAATCCTGAACGTATTTGGAATGATAAAAAAACAACCAGAAAACATTTCGGAATGACTTTTCGATTGCCCGAGTTTCCAGTTTCAAAAAAATGATCAAAAACTGATTTTCACTTAATTTTTTTTTTCGAACCAAGTTTCAAAAATTTCCAAAAACCCACCGCCCAAGGCGCTTCCAATGGCTCCAATGAAAACGAAGACGAAAATCAAGCCCTGAAAACAATTCCGAAAAATCAAAAAATCTATAAAAAACGTACAATCAGACGCATTTTTGAAGTGTAAAGTCGGAAATTTTCAAGAATTAAATCCAAGTTTTCGAAACTTAACGACATTTTTATTGTTTCAAAATTTATCGCCGAAAAAATGGGCATTTTTAATGGCCTAACGTTTTTTTTGATGTTTAAAAAAACCATGGTCGCAGTTGGAATGGCTCAAATTTTAAATCTCTTGATGCCCAGAAGCGGAAGCCGTTTTGAGTCGGGTGACGAGCCATTCCAAGTGCGACTATGAATTTCTTCAAAAATCTGAAAAATTTTACTTTAAAAAAACAAGGAAAAAGAGCAGCTATAAATCATTCAGATGAATGGAATAAGATTTTTGAAAAAAATGAAAAAAATTGAAGAAAAAAATAGTTTATTATAAGAATTCAACAAAAATCAAAAAATCAACAGAAAAAAAAAAATTTAAAATCCTAGAAGCAAATAAAATAAATAATCTAATCTAGTCAATCTAATAAAAAATGGATTTTTGAACTCGAAACTTTAAAAAAGAAGGAAAAATGATACAAATAAGAAAAAAAAATAGTCAAAAACCACAAAAAACTAATGTAAAGATCTGAAATTAAAATTTCCTACTAGAAAAAAACTATATTCCATTTTCTAGCTTTAAAAAAGCAATGGGAGAAAATTTTCAAACGATCAGCGAAATAGTTCGTAAAAAGAAGAGATTTAGACGTATCTATAGTTTTTTCGGCTAAAGATGGATCAACTATAGCAATTTTCAAACCTTTTCTGAAGGGAAAGCCCAAAAAATCAATGGAAATAGTGAAATTTCACCATTTTTTACTTTTTACTAAAAATGGCTAGGATTTCAAACCAATTATAGTCATTTTCGAGGTTTAATTCAAAAAAACATTGAAAAAGATGGAAATTTCGCACCTTTCACTTCAAAAAAATGACTATAAAGCTGCCAATTAACTATATCCTTTCTAGAAATTTCACTATGTGGAGAAAAAAAAATCTGAAAAATCAATGGAAAATGCGAACTTGAAAACTTCTACAAAAAACGGCTCGAAAGATCAATTTTGAGGACAAAAAAATCTAAAAAATCATTGGAAAATGGAAATTTCTTAGCTTCTACTACCAAAAATGGCTGAACAGATGCCAAAAAACTATAGCCAGTTTTTTTGCACCTTTCCGGGAAATTTCTGAAAAATCAGGGAAAAATCGATGATTTATTCGAGACCTATTTACGCTAAAAATCCTGGTAAAAAAACTGTTGAAAAGGTTGCCAATAAACCAGTTATTTTTCGAGGCTTTTCTGAAAAACTATGAAAAATCAGTGAAAGAATGGGATTTCGACAACTTCTGCTTTGAAAAATGGCTCAAAAAAGGTCAAGTTTCCAGAATTTTTCGGGGAAAATTTTGAAAAATCAGTAGAAAGATGGGAATTTCCAGCTTGAGCTTCAAAGAATGACTAAAAAGGTAAAATTTCAAGATTTTTCTGGAGAAAAACCTTAAAAATCAAGAGAAAGATGGGACTTCAAAAAACGACCAAAAGATCACAAATTTCAAGACGGTTCTACGGTAAAAATTTGCGAAACAATAGAGATTTCAACAACTTATTCTAAAAAGAGACAGTTCGAGCTTCAATTCTCGTTCTTATCGAGTTCACATCGGACGAAATCGACGAGCTCAGCCTCATGGGAAGTCACGTAATCGTAGATGGTCTGTGACGGGTTGAGCATGAAGGCCTGGCGCAGGAGTCCCGTCTCTTCGGCGTCGATCTCCGTCGTCTGGGAACATCAATATCTTTTTTCAGAAAAAGGGATGAGCGGCGCGTCGTAGCGCAACCGGTTTTGTGTTTGTCTACGGTGCACAGGGTCGCAGGTTCGATCCCCGCGGTGGCCCAACCAAGAGGTTCTACTTGATCATATGTTTCTTTTTCCTTTTAAACCTCAACTCTATTCCCCACTGGCTCCTGAGGACCTAGATCGCCTTTTTTCATTTTACTACAGGTTAATCTCCGTGTTCTACAAGAAAAACTGTCTTTTAATAAAAAAAAAGGTCCCCTTAAAATCGGAAAATTGGGTGCTACGACAAGAGCGAGTTTTCCATTTGCGAGCAGTACTGTATGCGGCAAAGCGCATTGCGTGCATGCACTCTGCGTGTTTACACTTTTGTGGCGTGACGTCATCGCGCCGTACATCTGCGGGTTTTTTGCTTGCGGGTTTTTTTTTTCAATGTTTTTTTCGGAATTTTTTTTTGGATTTTTTTTCCGGTTTGGTTTTGATTGTGCGAATATTTTCGGAACAAAAAGAAAACTTCTTTTTTACCTCATAAGAAGGCTCCTTTTTGTCCTCAAAAAATCTTCGTGTTCTTCTTCTTCTCATATTTTTTTCTCTCGTTCAGATTTTGAAATGAAAAAAAGTGGTGCTATGAATGAAATTCAGGATGGAAAGTGACGATTATGTTAACGCCATTGTTTTTCGACTCAATTTTAAAGCAACAAGAAATCACAAAGGAAGTTTTGGCGAAAAAAAGATGTCCCTGCTCCTCCACCCTCAACACCGGCATTGTACAAGAAACCAATTTTCGTAAAATTTCTGACAAGTCCCTTCAAATCTCTCAATGTACATTTAAAAATATCTTGAAAATTTTTCTGGGAAAAATGACTTTTTGTTTGATATGGTGGTTCTGTAAAAATTTGTTATTTTCTTATTTTTCTTATTTTTTTGATATAACTTATTTCAATTACTGGTATTTGTTATGATGCAATTTTTTTGATATTTTCCTCTTTGAAATATCAATATTAGCTTACTTCTTTTTCTATATTTGTGGAGTTGACCTAATAGCTATCTATAAAGAAACATTTTCCTAAGCTGCCCCCATGTCAAACAGAGTTTTCATCAATTAAAAAAAGTTCTTTTTGTTTCGAAAAAATAAATAAGCCGGAAAAAAATTCAAAAAAATCCGAAAAACCCGCAAGCAAAAACCCGCAGATGTACGGCGCGATGACGTCACGCCACAAAAAGTGTAAACACGCAGAGTGCATGCACGCAATGCGCTTTGCCGCATACAGTACTGCTCGCAAATGGAAAACTCGCTCTTGTCGTAGCACCGAAAATTGTCAAAAATCATTTGTTCAACAGACAACCCATTTTTTAGACCTGAAACTTTCTAGTATTCCAATTTTTTTTTAAGCCGACTTCGGAAACTTATAACCTACTTAGGATTTCCAGAGTGGTCCCAATAGGGTTTAAGGGAATAAACAGCCCCTATAGGGCCCGAAAAAGCGGTCCCTATAGGGGTCTTTCAATTTTATTCAAAAAAAGTGTATTTATTCAGTTTTTCGCATGAAAATGCTTATAGTTTACAAAAATTATCGACTAGGACGTCACCTATAGAGGCCACTAACTAAAACTCCTATAGGGACCACTTTTGCAAGCTTTAGTGGCCCTTAAACAGGTTGGTAAAGTTATCCCTAGAGGGGCCCCCAAATTTCCGCGAAATGTGAAATGATCTCTGACTCTCCAAAGATTAGTTATATTTTTCTTTCTCTAACGTCTATTTCGAATCTTGCGAAATCGCTTTGAACGCGCGGCATAAGGTTGCCCCTATAGGGACCACTCTAGAGTTTCTAAGTATATGATAAACAGGAAAATGCGCTTCCGGAATTATTCTTCGGTTCATGTTTACATTTCCTGCTCACCTTGACCTGTTCAAACGCGTTCAACTCGTCCGATTCTTCCTGGGGCAACTGTTTTTTCTCCGATTCTGAGGTGTTGGGCAAGGTTGGCTTCTCGCCAAGTACTTCCGGTCGCATTCCTGTGACAAAATGAGATATTTTTGGTAGTTTCCTCGAATGCTGGAAAAGTCGGTGGGTTTGGAAAACAAGGCCACGCCGCAATTTTGCTCCACGGAAAATCGATTTTCAGACTATCATTGCTTCCCTAGGTAATGTTTTACTTTTTGTTGGAGGTAATTTTTTTTTCTTGCCTTTTTTGTGTGTATTTTACACATTATATTAATTTTCGATAACTTAGGATTTTTTATTCCGCTCATTTGGTTATATGGAAGTTATTGTGGATCCAAAAAAATTAATAAGAATTTTTCAAAAAAATTGAATCAGTTTATAATTTTTGAATGTAGTGACCATAGATGAATGAAAATAAACGAAAATCTTCTTAGTAAAATTAAAAAGAGGAAGAAAACTTCAGAAAAGAAAAAAACAGAAATTCTAAGAGTTCCATGGAGCGAAACTGCGTCGTGGCCTAGTTTTCCAAACCGACCGACCGACTTTTCCAGCATGCCCCTCGAAGAAAACTGTCCGAACTTTCCATATTCAAGTCTTATCGAACATCTTCAAACTGTTAATTTCATTGGACGAACAAAAACCGGAGAATTTGGGGAACTTTCTCAGATTTTTGAAACAGGTTTCTTATGTTTAAAAAAAATTCCAATTTTTATTTTTACTTATTTGTAGTTAATTTTCATGTTTCGAATCGCCTCAAGATTGAAAAAATTCATTTTTCAGAGAAATCTTCTAAAAATTATTGAAATTTGATTATTTTCATCGTTTTGAATCACACAAAGATGAGAAGAATTCGCATTTTTTCGATTTTTCCCATAGAAAAAGGCAATTTTTTTTTAATTCCAGGATTTTTTTCTCAACCAACCAATGACATGCTGACAAAGTTGGGCGGCGAGTTTTTTTCAGAGGGGAAAAATTCCGGGCCTTTCATTTCGTTTCAGGGCGATCAGGGAGACGAAACGGCCCATGTTCACTTCTGGGGTTCCGTCTGGAAAAATTCTTCTTTTTCTTTGGGAATATTGAGAAATCTATGTCCTTTTTAAAAAAATTCCGAAATCAAAGAATCATTCGTTCAGAATCAATCTTCGAAAAAACCAAAATTCCAGGAGTCATGGAAAAAATTGCTCCTACAAGTGATCACTATAGGGGCCCTTAAAGGTTCCGCTTCACCTCCCCTATAGGGACCACTCAAACGTGCAAAAGTGGCCCCTCTAGGGGTCACGCTAGTCGTTTATTCCTACGAACTGTATAAGAAAAAAACCCTCATTTTTGCTCAATTTTCTTGGTTTTTCTACCTAAAAAGCCAATCTTCCTTTAAATTTAACCTTAAGAAAGAGCATTTCCTAGAAAAAAAGCTCAAAAATGCTCTGAAATCATAAAATTTAAGCTGAAATGACCTAAAAACATCAAAAAAAGCCACCAAAACTTCATTTTTGCTCATTTTTCTTAGTTTTTCTTCTTTTAGAGACCATTTTACCCACAAAATTAATCTTTGACCATAAAAAAAAGCTCAAAAATGCTCTAAAATCATAAAAATAAGCTATAATGCCCTAAAAAGTATTAGAAAAAAATCAGAAAAAAACCTCAATTTTTTTCTCAATTTTTCTTGGTTTTTTTCTTCTCAAAAAAGGTCAACTTTCCTTCAAATTTAATCTTAAGGATGAGAATTTTCTTGAAGCTTGAAAAAAATTTTTTTAAAAATCATAAAAAGTAAGCAAAATTGCCCTAAAAAAACATCAGAAAAAAAGTCACCGAAACCTCATTTTTGCTCAATTTTTCCAAGTTTTTTTCTTTCTTATAAGGCCGATTTTCCGATAAATACCATTTTTTTCCCCTTAAAATTAACCTTAAGAATGAAAATTTCCTTAAAAAGAAGCTTGAAAGATGCTCTAAAATCATAAAAAAACGCTGGATTGGCCTAAAAGCATCAGAAGTCACCAAAATCTCATTTTCGCTCAATTTTCTTCCTCAAAAAAACCTTTGGGATGGGAATTTCCATACAAGGAAGCTCCCTGGGGCGCAAAATAGGCCTTCAAAGATTTTGGGTTGATATTTTCGCCGAGTTTGCCGACGGACATCGTCACCACCTCACGTAATGTTTTGCCTTCCTCATTTTTCAAGGTTTCCAAATCTGAAAAACTTTTTTTTAGTATGCAAAAATGGAACTTTCCAACAGACCATACTCTGCGACGGCAATTTTCCCGGATCCCTGATGGGAAATGTTGTTTTTCGCGTGTTTCAGAACGCTTTTTGTTAGTTGTTCGAGCTGAAAAATGATGATAATGAAGTATTTCCTATGATTTCGATTTCAAAAATGAGAAAAAATATTTTTCAAAGCATTTTTTGTCAATAATTCGAGCTGAAAAGGAAGAATTTTTTTCATGATTTTGAAGTTAGAAATGAGAAAAAAATCATGTTTGAAAAACATTTTTCCATCGAATTTCGAGCTGAAAAAAATGATGGAAGTGAAGAATTTTCCATTATCTTTAAGTTAAAAATGGAAAAAAATCGTTTTTTTCAAAAACGTTTTACGCCAAATTTCGAGTTGTAAAATGATAAATATGAAGGATTTTCCATGATTTTGAAGTTAAAAAATGGAAAAAATCATGTTTAAGAGCTTTTCTGTCAGTTTTTCGCGCTGAAAAAAATGATGTAAATTAAAAAAATTTTTCCATTGATTTGAAGTTAAAAAAATTTGAAAAAAATACATGAAAAAAATGATGGAAACGTTGAATTTTTCTTCGATTTTTGAAGTTAAAAATTGAAAAATGTAGGTTACAAAACGTTTTTTGTCCGTTTTCGAGCTGAAAAATGATGAAAATAAAGAATTTTCTATGATTCTGAAGCCGGAAAAGAGAAAACTTCAAGAATAGGCGCAACAAAACTTCAAAACTGATCAGAAACCAACACAAATTATACTTTTTGCAATTTAGCCGATTCTAAAACGCTTTTTTAGCTGTTGTAAAGCTTATTTTTGATCAAAATAATTTTTTTTTCGTAATCTGAAGACTCCAACTGTTTCACGGCTACACTTTTCTTGCATTATTTCAAAATTTTGAAAGGGAAATTGCAGGAAAACCCGCACCAATTCTTTGAAATTAGCCCCGCGGGCGACGAAGTCCGTCTCGCAACTGAGTTCAACGACGGCGGCGACATTTCCGGCAGAAGCGACGCCGACCAACCCCTGGGTCGTTGCGCGGTTACTCAGTCTGAACTTTATGGGATCCAAAATCGATAAAATGATGAAAAATCGTAGAAAATGAACCGAAATTCCTTATATTCACAAATATCTGGTGGTATGAAAAAAAGACCAGCCAAAATTCAAATTTTTCCGATTTTTTCATATCTCTAGGGAACTTTCCGACGGCCACCTTTCCGACTTTTTTTCTCGATAAACTTTTCGTTTTAAATCTTCCTATACAAAGTAGGCAAGTTATTCATGGTTAAAACACAACGAAATAATAAAAAAAAAATGTTTACAGGTGTTTTAGGGGCGGCATAGCTCAGCTGGCATAACTCATTTCTACGTCCGCAAGGTCGTAGGTTCGAGTCCCCCCGAGGTCGACCAAGCCTTTCATCCCTCCGGGGTAGATAAATTTGGGAGCTGCATGCAGCGAAAAAGGCTCAATCTCTGCCATCGGCCTTTGGAAAGCCGGCACCGTACTTCTTCCTACGACCTCTCTTGTACCTGATGTTCTACGAGCGAAATTCACAACTTCTCTGCCTAAGCCACAGCTCCTGCCGCCGTTTAAACACAGTCAAATCAATGAAAGTCGATTGCACATGTACTCTTACATTGAAGATGCAATAAACAGTTTTTTATTTAACAGTTTTATAAACCGAATAATATATGGGAAAAAAGTAGGAAAAAGATTCGGCGGAAAGGTGTCCATCGGAAAATCCCCCAGCGACATGAAAAAATCGCTGATCTTTTTTTCATACCACCAAAAACAAAGATAAAAATAATCGTAGAAAATGAACCAAAATCACTTTTATTCACAATTATCTACTATCTTTAATTATTTTCTCCTTTCAAAGTATAGTTTTACAAATCTCTTTAATTTGAGATTTTTTTAAGCACCTGAAAGCTCACGACTGAGAATTCAACGAATTGAGGAGGAAAAATCGTTACAAAAAAACATTAAAATTGATCAAAAAAATTTGCAAAAAAATCCGTTTAAGATAAACCAAGCTACTATTTTTTTTCCACTAGTTTTTTTCCTATCTCTTATCGTCTGTGAAAAATCGGTTTGAAAAAAATATAGGACTTTTAAAAACTTGAGTGTCTCATGGGCTGAAAAAAAGGGAAAACCGAATATTTTTAAAAAAGAATCTGGAAAAACTCGTACAATACTACTCTTATTTACATATCTGTCTCATTTTCCATCCTTTTTTCTCTGAAGTATAGCTGTATAAATCTTTCGAATTTGAGATTTTTGAGCACCTGGAAGCTCACGACTGAGTATTCAACGTTTCAAAGAAAAAAATGGTCGAAAAACATTATAAAAAACAAAAATTTGCAAAAATTCGTATACGATCAACCAAACTACTATTTTTCCACTAATTTTTTTCTTCTATCATTTTTTCTGAGGAAAACAATCCAACTAGTGAAAAAATTCAGGTCTTTCGAAGCCTCAGTTATCAAGGAACTCAACAAAAAATTGATACGGGGTAAAAAAAAATCGGGAGAAATTCGTATAATTTTAAAAAAAAATCGTTTCTTCTCCCAGGTCAACTTTTTGAAATAGTCACCTCGGAGAATTTTAAGTGGCCACTATAGAGGCTACTAAAAGACCACTAAAAATTTTAGTGGCCACTTTAGAGGTCAATGGACTAAAATTGAACATAATATAAAGAGAAAAATCGGAGAAAAAAGATAATTTCCAAAGTCTGTACAAACAAATTCAAGTCGTGTCTTTGAAAGAACTGACTTTTAGAAGAAAAAAAAAATTTTTGACATCATTCTGAAACGTATTTTGAGCAGCTTTCTGTCATCATTTTGAAAAGCTCAACCGAAAATTATAAATATCCTTTAAAGTCAAAATTTTCATGTTCAGCCTCCTCAAAGCGATCGAAAAGAAGTTGCAAACTCAAAAAACTTAAAAATTTTCGAAATTATCAAAAAAAAAAAGGTTCTTAACTTTTATTAATCCTTTCTATTACATATTACGATTTTTGACTGAATTTTAAAATCATAAAAAAAGAAGAATATGATTTCAATACAAATAAAACACTGGAAAAATTAGGAACTAACTTTTTTTTTTGAAAAATTCCAAATGAGGATTTCATGCAGACCTAGAGCAGAAACGTTGTTTGTTAGCTGATAAAAACTATAAAATGCAAATGAAACGTAACTTTAACCGTTATTCTGATGATTTCGAAGTATAATATATGAATTCTTAAAATTTAATTTATAAGGTTCCGTGAATTACGAGCAAATAATACATTTTGAGGAGAGATAAGACGGGTACTGGTGAATCGAGAGGTAGATACAAGTAGGTACCGGGTAGCAACTCAAGTCAATCGGCGAATCGTAATCGGTGGTCATTTCTATGCGACCGGGTACTATCTCTATGGTACCTGGATAGTACCTGGTCGGTATCTGGATGCTACCGGGTAGGTACCCAAAACTCGCTATTGCTACTGGCTGGCACATCGGTCGTTTATATACCGTCAGTGTTTTTTTACACCTTCCCAAGTCTTCCAGGGTCTTATTGGACTGAAACAAAAAATGACGACCCGGGAAGCGATTCCAGACTTTCCGAAAGAAATCGCGAATGTCAGGTAGATACCCGGTAGCTACTTGCATCGACCTCCGACCCAGGTACCATAGAGATATAGCCCGTTCACGGCTGGCTTGGGACAGCGAACGCGCGGTTTGATTTTCGCGGCGAAGGTAGATCATGGCGGCTATCCATGCGCCTTTCATCAAAGCCCTTATATTTTTTCTCTTATCACTCGTCGATGTGAGAAAATCTAAAAACCAAAAAAATAAATGCCAACATAAAATAAACTCAAGAGAAACAGAAATAATTCACCAAATGAGACTCTTATTAAAGGCGCATATTTGACCGCCGTGATCTACCATCGCCGCGCAAGTAAAACCGCCCGTTCGCTGTCCCAAGCCAGCCGTAAACGGGCTATAGTACCTGGTCGCACACAAACGACCACCGATTACCATACGCCGATTGACTTTTTCAAAAGTTGCTACCCGGTAGCTACTTGTATCGACTTCTCGATTCATCTTTGGATTTCAACAAAATCACACATAAAAAAACGATTTTTTTTTAACGAAAAAAATCAGGAAAAATATAATGTTTTAATACAGAAAACTATGCGAAATTCCAAAACCTAGTTTTGTTCTCTGTTGAAATAATATTTTTCTAAGCCTTTCTAATTTGCTGAATTACGCAGTATGAATACGAACGTTCTTTTTTCCAAGTTGACAAGTTTTAAAATGAGCTTGAAACGTAAATTGTACAGTCTTTTTTTCATTAGGAACTTAAAGATATGTGTTTCAAAATCATGTAAAAATCAGAAAAAAATATATTTAAAGAAAAGAAAAATTCAGTGATATTTTAAAAAAACTTTTCCAAGTTTTAAGTTCAAAAAAATCGGTAGTTTTTAAATAAACTTCCTTTGAATTTTTGAAATTTTTTTCTCTAAATATCTTTTCTTTTTTTGTTTACAATTTCCTGTCTTTAAAAAAATTGGGATTTTTTTGAAGTTGCCTGATCGGTTGTTGACTGAGTATTCAACGAAAAATCATACTAACTGAAATAATCTCGATTTTTTTATTTGCTTTCAGGCCAAACTGAAGCGAATTGGACCCAAAAACCGTCATGAAGCCTTTTTGATAAACGATATTTTATGGGGAAAAAACTTCGAAGCTTTTTTTATTAGAAATTTTCTATTTTTTTGAACGCTTTTTTTGTTTCGAAATCTATAGTCTGTTCAGATTTTTAAATGTCAAGCAGCTAACTCCACCCCCAAGGCTACAATATCTTTCGCGTCAATGTTTTATCTACAGATGACGATGTCCCTTTAATAAGGCTGCATTTTTGACTTCTTTTTCTATCTTTTAGATCAAAAAAGATCAAAATTAGTCCCGCGCGAAAAAAACATCGACGCGAAAAGGTACCGTCTCAGCAGGGGTGGAGTTAGCTGGTTGACATTCAAAATCTGAACAGACTATATGAATCAAGCCTAAAACAGAGTACAACATCGAAAAAATACATTCAATAAATATAAACTTTGCAGCTTTGGCCCATCCTTCCTTCACGGCCACTTCTCGGAGCCATTTCTCGGCCTCATCCAACTTATCTGGCCCAAATTGGACCAAAGCTTTCCGGCAGTTCACATAACTGTAGCCGGTTCTCTTCCGCAACTTCATCAGAGACTGAAAATTGACATATCATAACTAAAAAATAAGTTGTATTGAAAACAAGCCTCCTTATCGACTTGAACCGGCGCGGCGACTGAAAAAAGCCGAATCGACGAATTTGTCAGGAACCTTTGAGTGCAAAGTCGAGCCAACATCTGGAGAATAAAAATTAACTTATAGAGAAAAAAATAAATCAAACAAATACATATGAGAAAATTAAATTTTTTTCGATAAAATACAAAATGATGCAAATTCACAGAACAGCTTCAAATTTCGCTCTCTTGCATTCAAATTTTTTTTTAAACATGATAACTTTACACATATTTTCCTCAGAAAAATCAAAAATGAATCAGAATATCATGATGTAGTTAAAGAAAAAGATGAAAAAAACTTCATAAAAACTTGGAAAAAAATTTTTACGGGGAAGAAATGAATGTGCGCTCCACTGTTCAGAGTGAGCGAGCGAGGGATTTTCAAAGAAATTGAGAATTTTGAAGCCGTAAAAAGAAAGTGATGCTTTATTTTGTTTAAATTGACTAAGCGGAATACGCAAAACTGGCATTTCAGGAGCTTTTTTCGAAAATTGGGTCCCGAAACGATAAAAGAAACTGTAATTCGAAAGGATTTTGTATTTTTTGTTTCGAACCATTTTTTTGAGGTCAAAACAGCCAAAATGACAGGCGTATTACGTATATTTAGAATCAGCGAAAAATCCAGAATTTTTTCGACCCTAAAAAATTATGTTCTAAAAAGTTTTCTAATGCATTTCTGGGCCGGAAAGGCTCAAAATTCGGTATTTCGAACAAATTTTTTCATATCTAAATGCCCAAATTTCGACAAATTCGTGAAAAAAAATCTCGTTTCCAACCTAAATTCCTGTGTTTTGCAGTGACGTTTGCGGTCATGTTGATGGAGGGTCGAAGAAGCGTCAGTTGTCGTGTCAAGTGGTCCCTGAAGCAATATTCGAGCTCAAAATAAAATTTTCCAAGTATCGGGTTTCGATCGATTCATAGCTTGTTATTGCAAAAGTTTCGGGTTCAAAAAATATTTTTTTGTTTTTTTAAGACGTTTAGGCGTTTTCAACCGACCAAAAGCGGTTTCCGCGCTCTGACCTACTTTTAGTACAAAATGCGTCGCTCTAACTTAAAAAATCAGTGCGAATGGAGCATATTAAGCCATTCCAAATGCGACCAGGCCTTGTAAAATCCTCAAAAAAAAATCTTGTTTTCCATTTTCTTTTTTTTGAAACTTTGGCCGCATGGAGAATGGCTCAAATCGGCTTTTTCGAAGTGCAACCGACCAGAGGCGACTTCCGCGCTCCGGCATCTTTCAGTACATAGTTTGATGTTCAACATGCCTTTTAAGCCATTCTCCATGCGACAACAAGTTTCAAATCCCACAAAAAAAGCTAAAAAGTTACTCTTTCCCTTTCAAATGTCCGTAATACAATATCAGTTCAAAACGGCCGTACTTTACAGATTTCAGAACCTTGAAAATATCCCAATTTTGCATTCCGAACGACTGCTGGAGAAACAAAAGACGAATGAGATTACACAACGTGGGAAGTTGTGAAATTCCATCGTCCCACCCACACTTTTTCGCCGCTCCTCATTTTTCGATTCCCGAGATTTTTCCTTGTTTTCAATCCCTCGAGATCAGCTGATTATCAAAATAATCTCTTCTTGAGAACGCCAGAGTGGTCACTTTAGGGGTTAGGGGTAAAAAAAGCTCCACGGGGGGGCAATAAAGAGCTCTATATAGGGGTGCGCGGAAAAAAAGCCCCACGGGGGGCAGAAACGAGCTTTTTGTAAGAATAAAAGTTAAGTGGTCCCTAAAGGGATCTAGGGTCTGACCTCTCACCTTTCAAGCTTAAGTGTTCCCTGAAGGGGTGAGGGGAAAAAAAGCTCCACATGGGGGGCGACAAAGAGCTCCTTATAGGGGTTAAAGTTAAGGGGTCCCTCTAGGGGTGCGCGGAAAAAAATCCCCACGGGGGGCAGAAACGAGCTCTCTGTAGGAATAAAAGTTAAGTGGTCCCTAAAGGGTCTATGGTCTGACCTCTCACCCCCTCAAGCTTAAGTGGTCCCTATAGGGGTCTCCAAGATTTGTTGAGATTTCTTGAAACTCAATCGATTATTCCTCTGTATACATCCCTTCATTCGGAAAAAAAATTATGATTTATTGAGATTTTAATGCTACCCTATCGGGGCCACTTGGAAGGTTTAGTGTCCCCTATATGGAGAGGTAAAGTGGTCCCTATAGGGGAATTTTCAATGGCCCTCGAGTTTGCCCCTTTAGGGGTCGCTCTGGCGTTCCTGAGTCATGAGGAACGCCAGATCGCTATAGGGACCACTTAAACTTTAGGGGTTATGGGCCAGACCCTATAGGGACCACCTAAATTTTAGCCCTTTAGGGAGCACTACTGACTTATTGAGATCATCTAGAACCAAAGAGAACCTGAAGAAATTCAAAAAATGTTTTTTTTTATCCATAGGGCACACTTTCCCCTTCTTCCAAGGATTAAAAGTTGCTATTTTTTAAAACTATCCTAGAATTTTTTTTTAGGTTCTTACCTCATTGGTTGCTCTCTAGACTCTCCCAAAAACTCTCAACCATTTTTTTCGCGTTTAAAACGAAAGAATTACTTGAAAACTTCCAAAACTGTTTTATTATCCATGGAGCACACTTTCCCCTTCTTCCAAGGATTAAAGTGGCTATTTTCATGAACAATCCAATCCATTTTTTTTCAACTTTTTTCTGAGAGACTGTCCTTTTATCCATGGAGCACACTTTCCCCTTCTTCCAAGGATTAAAAGTTGCTATTTCAGAAAAGCTATCCTAGCATTTTTTTTTTTCATGTTCTTACCTCATTGGTCGCTCTCTAGACTCTCTCAAAAACTTCTCAACCATTTTTTTTCGCGTTTAAAACCAAAGAATTACTTGAAAACTTCCAAAACTGTTTTATTATCCATGGAGCACACTTCCCCCCTCATCGAAGGATTAAAATGGCTATTTTTGAAAAGTATCCTAGCATTTTTTTTTTTGAGTTCTTACCTCATTGGTCGCTATATAGACTTTCCCAAAAACTTCTCAACCATTTTTTTCCGTTTAACACCAAAGAATCACTTGAAAACTTCTAAAACGGTTTTTTTTTATCCATGGAGCACACTTTCCCCTTTTTCCAAGGATTAAAAGTGGCTAATTTTGAAAACCATCCTATCCGTTTTTTTTGGGTTCTTACCTCATTGGTCGCTCTCTAGGCTATCTCGAAAACTTCTCAACCATTTTTTTCGCGTTTAAAACCGAAGAATCACTTGAAAACTTTCTTCAAGTAGCTGTTTCAACCATTTCCCCGGTTGTTGGTTGACACTGGCCACTCGAGGAAAATCCCCCGTGTAAAATGTGAAGAAGGGAGAAAAGTGTGGTTGAACAGCTTTCAGAACAAAAATTTCAAGTGGGCTGAGTGAGACAAACGGCGCGAGAAAAAAGGGGCCACTTGACGCGCGAGCCGCTACACTGTCTTCCGGGGGCTCTTTTTCGTTGTTAGACATCAGTTAGTGTGTTGAGGACTTCCCAGTGTATTCTATGGTCTATGGAGAGTTTCTCTACCAAATTTGAAGTTTTTAGGTCGAGTACCTTAACAAATAGAGCCTTAACTAGGGTATCTCTTCTGATTTTCTTAAAATCTCAGTTATAGTATATCTTTAGCGATTTTTTTTTTACGTTTTGGGATCAGTCAGTGAGTTGAGGACTTTTCCGTGTATTCTATGATCTTTGAAGGTTTTCCTTACCAAATTTGAAGGGTTTTCATCAAGAATCTCGAAAAATAGAGCCTACAATAGTGTACCACTTATACTGTATCCGAAAAATTCAGTTATCCTGAATCTTTAGCGGTTTTTTTCGAATTTTAAGATTAGTTAGTGAGTTGAGGACTTCTCAGTGTATTCTATGGTCTATGGAGAGTTTCTCTACCAAATTTGAAGTTTTTAGGTTAGGTACTTTAAGAAATAGAGCCTTAACTAGGGTATCACTCATGATTTTCTCAAAATCTCTGTTATAGTTAGGGACCGCAGACGAATTTTCAAACATTTTTTTTCAGCATTGAGCTATGTATGGTTTGATAGCTGTTTCGATTCAGAACTCAGAACCGTTTAGTTTTTCAAAAAAGATTGAGGATGAAAAAAGTTATGACGAAAAATGTGGCACGCCGCGCACCATTTTTTTAGTACTGAAATTTTGGTATTATCCATTTTTGACATTTTTCTCGATTTTTCTTCTAGAAAAAGTTTTGATACTGGTCTATTATGATGTAACAAATTATAATAGAGTGCTAAAATGATGCTAATCAGCTAGTTTGCCGAAAAAGTCGGTATTTTGCAGAAAACAAAAAACTGACGCATCGAACTCGCGACCTCAAAATGAAAAATCGCAGCGCACGCACTGCGCCAAGCTGTCAGGTCTAGCGCGGGGAGCTTCCATCCGCCATATCCTTGAGCCGTTTAAATAGCACATATTGTCTATTTCAAAAAGAAAAACTTGAAGTAATTAAGCTATTTTTATCAGAATATGTTCGCAAATCTTTACTCGAACGTTTCGTGGAAATTCACTTCGAAAAAAACTGTTTTTTTTAGTGCTTTTTTTGCCTCTTTTTAACGATCGCTGCATTAAAAACGGCCCCGTATATTTTTCGGCAAAGACGAATTTTTATTTTATTTTTAATTGAAAGATTTTTACTAATAAATGTATATAATCGTTTGAAAAACCTGCGTTCGACCGCTTTCTGTGTGATAAAAAGCCACTAATTTTATTCTCTAGTTTCAAGAGCATTTTTTTGCGTATTAAACAACTTTTTTTCAAGCACATATTCTGTGGAGAAAAAAATTTAAGTAAGCCCATGGTCTAAATTCTGAAAAAAACAAAAAAACTCGATTATATTCGCTTATTAACGATATTTTGAATTATGACTTTCGGCACTCCCTAAAAATTTTTTTGGCAAAGACGAATTTTTTTATTTTATTGTTTTAAAAATTACCGTTACTTGAATCAAAAATCATTATATAAAAAAAGAAAGAGTGCGTTCGACCTGAAAAACACATGAAAAAGCAAAAAATGACAAAATTTTTTAGTTGCATTCACGTTTTTGTACGACATTCCGCGA